CCCCACACCAAAAATAGTGCCGACAAGGCAGAACAAAGCAAATTCAAATGGATGAGGTGGCCGAAAAAGTTTAGCTTAAAATCAATGAGTGGAGAAATACCTTCCTTTCTAACGGGGGTCGGCTTACCTTACTCAAAAGTGTTCTTTCCACCCTTCCCTTATACACTATGCAAGTGCTTAGAACTAAAAAAGGTACTCATAATCATCTTGAAACTATTTTTATCAAGTTTTTGTGGCAGGGAAGTAAATTTTCTAAAAATTGAACTACTTGGCAGTATACTTGTAAGCCTCATCGTGCTGGAGGTCTTAGGTTTAAAACTTGGAAGTTTTGTATAGATATTAATATGTGTAAGCTTTGGTTCAAATTCAGATTGGGGGAGTCTCTTTGGGCAAGCTTTATGCACCATAAATACTGTAAAAACTTGCATCCTGCTGCTGTTAAGTGGAAAGTGGTGGACTCCATGCTCTGGAAGGTTATTATTGCTGCTAGAGATGTTGCTTCACATCTCATTTTTTGGGACATTGGGGATGGTAACATTTCCTTCTGGAATGATGATTGGAGACTTTCTCAATATTCTCTTTCACCTCCCTCTGGTTATGATGCTAATTTGCTTATTTCAAATGTTGTTTCAGATGTTTGGACTGGTGACCAATGGAACCTAACTAAGCTTTATGATTTAATTGGGGATGCTGCCCCTGTTATTGCCACTATTCCTATTCATGTTCAAGATAAAAATATTCCTCTTTGGAAGCATCATGCTAGTACTTCTCTCACTAAAATGCTTTACTCTAATTTGCACCACTTTACTCCTTGGAAATGGTATTCTTACACTTGGCACAAACTGTTATCTCCATCTATCACCTTTTTTTTTCTTTGGAGGTATTTTCATAAGTTTCTCACACTTAATGATATACTTAAAATGAAAGGTTTAAAACTTGCATCTTTCTGTTACAACTGTAGAAGAGAGGCTGAAAATTTTAATCATTTGTTCTTTGAATGCGCTTTTGCTCAAGAGGTTTGGCATAGTATTGGACTTTACTTTGGGATTACTTGGCCATCAAATCTGACCCTTAAGGCTGCTATCAATACTTGGAAAGATTTTGATTCTACTTTCTTTAAGCATTGTTATTTTCCTGGCATTGTATTATGGTTCATTTGGATGGTACGGAATAGTCACAAATATGATGGTTCTTGCCATACTCCCTCTACTACTTCTACTTTTATTGTGGTTTATTTCAAGAAGGATTGGAATACTTCCAATGTACATTAAGCTTCTCCTAATGTGGATAGGGGTAGGACACCCATATTGATTAGATGGGCACCACCCCCACACGGCAAGATCAAGGTAAATGTGGATGGAAGTTATGCTAATGATTATAAGGGTGTTGGTGGGATCTTTAGGGATGAAAATAGCATTTGTTGTACATACTTTGCTACACCTTGTTTGGCCAATTCTTCTATTGAGGCTGAAATTATTGTTGTTCTTGCTGCATTACAAACTGCTGTCTCTCTAAATCTTAAAAAAATTATTTCTGGAAACTGATTCTGAGATTCTCTATAATATGCTTTCAGATAGGCTTATTCCCCCATGGCATGCTACAATTTGGTTTAAGTGTATTAGGCAGATTATTGAGGGACACTCTATAAACATATCATACTACCTTACATATAGAGAATGCAAAAAATCTGCGGCTTGGCTTGCTAAATGGAGGGTGCAGGGGGCAATAGTTGATATTACTCCTCATATGCTGGCTAAGCTGATTAATAGTGATATGGCAGGTCCTTATGTACGTGCTTAATTTGGTGCCCCCATTTAGGAATGTCTTTAGCCTATTTGTTTTGCTTCCTTGGTTTTGAACTTGGTTTAAATGTTGGTTTCAGCTGGATGGTTGGTTGTTTGGATGGTTTTGGGGTGTTGGTTTAGCAGAATGATTGCCCATATTTTTTACCCGTATCAATTTCTTAATATGAGAAACTATCTTTTTGTTCCTTTCTGTAGTTGCTCTAGCACTGGAAATTGTTGTTTTTATGGCTATGACCTCACTTATACATTGAGCAACGGTTGCTGGGTCACTTGGTTCGTACATAACATTACCTTAATTGTTTTAAGTTTTAGGCTTTGCTGCTCCACTAGCCACTTTTCATTTATTGCTCACGTGCATATATGACCTGTTATGGCCTGGGATAGACTTTTTAGGAATTATAGTGCTGCTGTTGAGGTTCTCTATAAGTTGCTGATGTCTTGGAGATCATTTTCTAGCAGTTCTTGTTTCCTTGGGTCTGCTAGATGGTGCTTTGTTACCTTGTTACTATTTATGGATGCATGGTTTGGGTGCTCACTTCCTTTTGGTCTCACGGTTTCACTGGTTTTTGATTGGCCTCCTCTTGCGACTATTGGTGTTATTGGCATAATTGTATTACTTTACCTTGTTATGCTATATGTCTTTTCTGGCGGGAAGTTTATGTCTGGTCAAACTATGATTTGCTTTCTTCTTGGGTCACTGCTCCTTCCCTGGACTGCGATTTTCTGCCTGGATGCCCACTGCCTATTATGCTCAATTATTGGGTTTTGAATGTTAAGCTCTTGAAATGTTTGGATGGCTACACACTCTGCTTTGGGTGTACTTCTTGAAAGCTTTTTGGACTTTGCTTCTTTAGTTTTTCACTTTCTGATCACACTTTTTGCTTTACATGTAATTTTGGGTATACTTCTTATGTTGGTATATTTTTTTTTTGTCTTTATACATGTATTTTCCTTTTTTTTTATTGGAGTTGTAGCGTGGATACGGGAACCCCTAGGTTTGAGTTTCTTTTTGTGTTTTAGATGGGGATCCACTATTCTAGCCCCCTAAATTTGTACATTTTTTTTATTATTAACGCGCAAGGAGCCAAAAGCTACTCTTTTAACCAAAAAAAAAAGTAAGGATTTAAATAAAATGTTAATGCATTAATCTTAAGTTAAGTCAGCCATCATATTAAATTAAATATGAATTAAGTCATGTAGCGGCCCATTTTAGTATCATATCAAGATTGAATATTGAAATATATGAAAACTCAATGATTAATGAATAATATTATCAAAATTATTTAAATTTTATTTATTTTATTTTTATATACAATAATTTTTATTATTTTAAATCTAATTCCTTAATTATTCTTCTAATTATTATGTCATAACAATAATTTGAATTAAACTATCTCTTTTCTATAATTAATGAGCCAGCATGAACTCATATAATTGAGCTAATTAATTATCTTATCTTCTATCAAGACAATTCAATTGGCAGAATGGGTCAATTTGAATTGTCTTAATCATTGCTTGTTATTTTGCAATTAAACCCGAATGAGTCAATTTGAGTTCTATTATTTCACTTTCATGCACCTTTTTTGAATTTTTCTGAGATTTTTTTAATCTATTTTAGCTGCTTACCAGTATAGTTTAATCTCATGGAACTAATTAATTTATTTTAATTAAATGAATGGTTCAAAATCAATAAAATTGATTGCCAGAGTTAATTGATGCTAGAAAATGAATTATAATGTTTTTTATGACTTAATTACATGTTAATGTTTGATAGCAGGTTAGACAAATTAATGAATTTGATCAATTTTCTTTAAGCTTTCATACGGGATATTTACATGTACACCACACAATTTTAATGTATTTATATGTCAAACACCCACAATTTGTTTTTTATATTTATCATAAACCGTGTCAAAAATTTTTACATGAAAATATATATTCGTCAGTTTTAAAATGAGAGAATTGATGATAATAATGTCCGCATGAATCTCGAGGAGATCTGAGGAACAAGGAGAATAATTAGAAAAACTAAAGAGGGCCTACTGATGGAAGTCTAAATAACATACTTGACTATATGTAGCCCCTTAAATAGGGGCCAAAGGCGGACCAGATGTAGGTCATCCGAACCAAGGATAAAGGCTAATAAAGCCGAGCAAATACATCGACATTTCTCTTGTCACAACCCGACTCAAGGAGAAAGATCGTATCAATCGATCATCGGATATCCACCAGAGAGTGTAATCGGTTTGTCTGAATACTATCGTCTGTCTTGACAATAGGTTTGACCGATAGTTTCTGCGAGCCCTATTGCTTCGGTTGGTCGGTCGACTGATGGGTCGATTTGTTTCGTCGAGTGTGTCGTGGCTCACTTGTTATTTGTCTTAAGTCTTACAGGACCTATGTATTGTCTACTTGGTCAATTCCTTGCTTTGGCCAAATCTCCCCTCTCACAAGGTTTTGAGCGGATCTTGTCGTTGTTTATGCAAGGTATCCGACGAGACTCACTGTCTGGATGATTTATGTCTTCCCCTTGGAGAATCTTGTCGCTACCGAGTAGGGGACCATTTCTAGAGTTTTGACCTATCCCAAGTTTAGAGACATTATTTCTTATGTTTGGCTTATATATATATATATATATATATATATATATATATGCCGCAAACAATGACAAATTGGTATATATATATATATATATATATATATATGCCGCAAACCATGACCAATTGGTTGGCGAGGTTCATTGTAAGTCCCCTCAGATCAAGGATTCGATCTCTAGTGATGCTGGGTTCTAGAATATTTAGACACATGACGTGGGCTCTTATCGGTATTTGAACCTAGCGTATAGGAAATCATTATTTGAGACTCTGTTAAATATCGATTCCCTTCAATATATATATATATATATATATATATTCAACCTATTTCGAATCGAAAGAGGCTCAAATATACGCCACTAATGTCTAATTGTCGTACCTATTTGTTGATTTGGTATTGAGAAAAATGCGTTATTACTAATTCAATCTCTTATGTAATTGTCTGGCTAACATATGGCTGCAGCACCTTCAATATCTATATATATAGCTATGTCCCTTTGTTATCTCAACATAGGAAGCTTAAAAAAAGCTTAATTGCATTCACAACAAGCCAATTATAACTGGTGGAGACAAGTGATACATGGCCTTCTCAGACAAGCTATTCTTGCTCTCCGTTCTGCTCCTCTCCGTTGCTTCCATCAGCCACGGCGCCGATTTGATTACCAAAGAATGTGGGAACACCTCCGCCACCAACGAGGCCTTGCAAGCCAACATCAACAGCATCATTCTCGACCTGGTGACAAAGACTACCTCCACCGGCTTCGCCAACTCCACCTACGGCTCCGCTAACGACACCGTCTATGGCACCGCGGAGTGTCGGGGAGACATCAGCGGCCAAGACTGCTCCGCATGCATCATCGCCGCCGGACTAGAGATACGAACATCATGCACGAATACGACCGAATCACGCATTTGGTACCAACAGTGCTCTCTTCGCTACAGCACCACGAACTTCATCGGCCAGATGGATACGAACCTGCTCGGTGTGTGGGCATCGACGAATAAGATGGCGGATCCGCAGGCGTTCAAGAAGGTATTGAAAGAGCTATTTATTGTACTAGGATTGGCGGCATCAAGTGGAGAAAGCAGGAAGTTTGGGTGGGGGGAGATTGAGAGCAATGTTGTCAATAACAACAAGACAATTATCATCTATGGAATGGCACAGTGCACATCAGATCTGCAAGGACCGGACTGCTTAAAAGGTTTGGATGCGGCGTACGGTGTTTTACAGTCTTCTTGTGGAGACCTGAGAGGATGCTATGTTATGTTTAAGAGTTATGCCATTAGATATCAGGATTCGCCGTTTCTCTTCCTGAATGCTGCCGCCCCGACTCCTGCTGCCACTACTCGCAATATTACCTATGCCAATACTTAACTCCTGGTTTTGTTTGTGGTTTCTATCCCAACTTTGCTCGCATGCATGAATAATATTGTTTTTGTCATCCCATGAGATTTTATGACAAAAGTTATGTATTTTTTATTTGTCTAATAGCCATGTTTTGAGGTCCGTAATTAATGATTAGAGAATTATTTATCTAATATTTTAATAAGGGTCACATGTATATTACTAGCTTTCCCCTTAAGTTTTATGACCCTTTATTGCTCCCAAGACTCTTTAGTGGGTCCTAGGTGGTTTCTTCTTAACGTTTTGGATGGCTAAGTCAAATTAAGCTATTCTCTCTTTGGGTTCAAATTAACTCATAGTAACCTCTATCCTATTGGATGAAGCTAGAGAGTTAAGAGTAGGAACAAGCTGAAACAATGGAAGTAAAATAAAAATAATAACCCGCTTTATGCCCAAGTCTAACTTTAGGTCACCTTATAGGACCTTTAGGCCTACTGAGTGTGAATTAAATGCTATGCCGTGGGATTTATTTTAGTGACCTCTCCCTTGAACTCTTCTTTGAGTCAGAAAGACTTTGGCAATCATATTAGACAAAGTTGGCCCTCGGTGACCCTGTGTGGTCCATCAAAATCAAATATTTTTTTATCTTAAGTTTTTGACTAATAACGATCTTAACATGTGTGAGGATCAATAAGGATCACTCTTGAGTCCATTTAAGGCCATTACCTCCATATCATTTTAGTTTGACCAAACAACATATTAAGTACTCAAGTGATCAAATTAACTCCATATCATTCATATATGTTCCATCTTTGTTTGAAATGAAATTAATGTGCGTAAGATGAAGTTTGGTGTCATCCAAGCACACTTAAAGGCTTGGTCAAATACATTGACCCTCATTAAGAGTTATTTGAACTAAACTCAAAAATTTTCTTAGTGAGGTGGATTTAATTGAACTTAGATCACTCCAGTGACACTTGGAACCCTCCATGGGACACTTAACCCAATTAAAGCTAAATCTAATCTCAATAAGATCTTAACCTAATAAATGTAAAATGGGCTTTTTTGAATCAAATTAAACCTAAACTCAATTAGACTTGGCGCCAAGAAACTTTATTATGTTAGTCGACCATTAACAAGTCCAATTATATGATCACTGGACCATTAGTAAATCCTAATGACCATTCAACCCATTTACTTTACGATAAGTGAAACAAAATAATTCAAGTAAAAATTAAACTAAACTTGTCTAACCACTTCTTAGGTTATAATCTAGATGTTGAACCCAAATCCATGGCGACTAGATTCCAATCAAGCTCAATTTAATGAATTGATCCAATTGAGTCTATATAAACCATCTTGATTCAAATAATTTATAAACTTACTTAATTATGGTCATGTGGTACCAAGTTAAGCTAAACTAAACTAATTGAGCTCCATTAACCAAGCCTTGGTTGTTGGTAGTCTAGGCAAGGCTTGGCTTGGCTTAACTTAATCTTTGCCAAAGCCTTGCCTTTTCATTCAAATTTTACAATTTTGAATTCAATTTAAATTCTAGAGGAACACAACCATAGGATAAAACCCTCCATCGCCTTTTTTTTAGTCATATAAGATCCAAGAGATCACCACTAGATTTCATGGATAAAAGAGATCAATGAAAACAATCTTTATCTTTTAGTGAGATTTTTAGGGATGAAATTAGAGTTGTGTGTTCCTTTTATTTGAAATGAATGATGAGGCCAACTAAGTCATTGAAGAAAGTTTTGCACCCATAGATAAAATTGTGGGATAAACTTAAATGTTAGAACATATACCAAAATGATAGTATTGGTTGCCTCCATAGATCTCAATGGCAAGCTGACCTTGACATGTGTGAAGCAAGCTCTTGGCAACATTAATTGTGCAAACATAGATGAAAAATAAAAAATTAAATAAATTAAGAGAACAAAAGCTTAAACTTCAATAAATCATAAGGAATTAAATATAAACCAAAAATACAAATAAAATATCTATGAACATGACAAACATAGGAAGAATAAGAAAAAATAAAAAAGTATTATTTGGTCACCAAAAACCTCTATATTTTTTGTTTGAAAAATCGTTTGATACAATTAAAAGAACATTTAAAATGTGAAATGAATTTCTATCTAAAAATAAAACTTGAGCCTTTCTTGAGTCACTCTTAAAATTGTCCTAGAATTTTAAGTTGATTATCTTTTTTATTTGCTTCAAGTTGAACATAAAATAAAAACAGAAATGTGCTAAAAAATTATACAAAAGGTTAAACTAATTAAATTTAAATTTAAAAACTATATGAAAATTAAATAAAGTTAAAAAATAAATAAATAAATAAATATATATATATAT